ATTTTAAAATAACAATCTCTTCCAATTACACAGATTATGTAAATTATTAGGTAAATTAACAGTAGCATGTTAATTGGAAAGGCTACTCGTTCAATAAAATTTTCTAAGATGACTCAAAAAATATTTTTAAAAAGAAAAAAAAACCGAGCCTTATTGCTTAATTCTCCTTTACATAGGCCATGTTCCCTGTATCGCTCCATTGTTTCTTGTGTCGCACCACAGCATTGGAGAACATCTTGGATAGGTTTCAAATCTTGCAAATATTTGTCTTCCGCTTGGTCAACCTTTGATAGTAACTTCTGAAATGGAAAAGGTGATAATCGATCAGAAGCATTCTCCACATACAAGCAAGAATCCTTCATCATCCTCATTAGATTTTCCGATAAATTGTTGTAACGCTATAACCTTAACTATTATTATGCGTATTTGAAATAAATAAGTTCAAATTAAAAATTACAACAACTTCGAAAGTAACTGATAAGATAACGAAGAGAATATTGAAGATAATGTTCTCTAACAATCTTACCGGTGGACAGACTAAAATTAGTGATGAATAGCTGATTTCATGAATCTATCCGAACAAACAAATTCTAAATCGAATGCGGTATTGAAACTGAACCACTGGTTGGATATGCTTTTGTGCTTAACATCGGATAAGCTGACAGTTTAACAGAAAGCAATGTAATAAGTTGTTACTCAAATTACGCTACTTTAGAAAAGTGTTAACAAGATGTCAAACTTTTTCTGAATTATAATTCAAAGTGTTTAAAATGAAGGTTGTAAAACTTCAGTTTGACACTTAACATTTCCTTCTTTATTTTTTATTTAAGAAAATCCTCAAATGGCAAAAATTAATCCTGTCGTGGTGTTTGGATGGTTTTACGAAGGTAAGAAATATTTTAAAAAGTTTCTAATTCGTCTAAAATACGGTTCCTCATTCAAGTTAAGCTATATTATAGCCTAAGTAAGAGCAAATTGATTAAATGATTGTGCTTTTTTAAGATACCTATGTGCTGTAATACCTGGTTTGATACCTCCAGAAAATAATAGTTTCTTTGACGCTGTAATGAAATAGCTTCTAATGCTTGCTTTTCTCTAAAGTAAGTCTAATATAACTTATCGGCCTTCCATTTATTCTAATTCAGCTTGTCACTTAATAAAATATTTACTCTCATATTTAACCCATGTTTTTCATTTTCGCCACATCGTTCTTGAAATGTTTTTATTTCAACTTCAATCTTCAACTCTAATAAAACATGGGCAAAAGACGCATTAGAATTAATCTTTTAAATCATAATCTACCGTATAACGATATCGTATTATTTAAAAACTCTCAAACACTTTGAAAATTAAACGAATTTAACTAGCGAGTCTAAATTAAATGAATTTAATTTATCATACTTTTGTTAAGAATGACAATCAGAACACTTTTTTAAGAAATTATATTCATCCTTTTTCATGTGAAAACTTTTCAAGATAAAATAAATTTAATGCAAATCGAGAAATTTATTTAGGTTTTTAAATAAAATAAATTCTCCTGAAGCAAGAATAAGTGTTAAAAGAAAAAAATAAACTTACATGTAAAACATTTTTGAATTGTTCTTTGTTGATAGCAGCAAATATTACTGTGCCAACTTCAATTATTGTAAGTGCTAGTACAATGATGAAGAACTAAAAGAAAAGTTTACTTCATTTAAAATTAAGCAATTAAGAATAATTTAAGATCGATATATGCAAAAAAAAAAACATTTCGCATTATATCAAAATAAGCGTTAATTAGGCTTAATTAAGATTTTCGTTGCTTTCATTTTAAATAATTAAATGAAGAATTTGAAATTGATTTTGTCTTACTTACAAATTTTTTATTTAATGAACAAATAACTTTAATAACAAAGGATAGGAAATGAAATTTGGGATAGAAAATTATTTTAAAAAAGTGTAAGTTGTTTTTGATCAGTATAATGTTGTATGTTAAATCTTGAATAAAACTCCTGACAAAAAGTATCAATTCCTAATAACTTACTAAAGTTAACAGTATGACATTTTCGCACATCGCACCACAACAACCGAGAAAACCGACGAAAAACAGGAATGCACCAATAATTATCAACATCCATAATAATGTTTGGTACTGAAATGATTCAAATCTTATTATGAAAGTAACTATTTTACTATTCAAAACCATCATGTTTTTAGCTAAATAACAGAACTATTTATCTAAACTCAAATTAAATTTAATGACGATTTAAGTTTTCAACGATGCCTAAAGGCTATATTTTAAGCATCAATGATGACCGAAAATTGTAAAATACTGTGAATTATTGACATTCAAAACTTCACATCATAATGAATTTGAAATTTGAAAAAATTTGAATATGCTTACTCTTGCCAGTACAGTCAAGTCGTCTGCATTTACACTTAGTGCTGTTTCCAATTTCGATGCGAAATCTTTATCCAAATTAGCCCATAATGAGAAGCCAAAAATGAGTGTGCCAAACAAACAGATTAATAAATTTGCGGTGAAAAATAAAATTTTCACCATTCGATTGCCACAACCATGAACCATTGCAGAGATATCTGAAAGTTTAGGAATACCAGTCCATCTGAATGCTATCATTTCCAGAATGCTTAACGTTTTTACACGTACGGAAATTGACGAAACAATAATGCTAAGTGAAATCGAATGAATGCAAACAGTCTTCATTCATAGCGATTCTATTTCTTTACAGTGATTTCTTTATTGGAATGTTAGAACGTCATCAGAAGGTGAATCAATTAATTTAAATTAATTAATAGATCTTTGTTAATGATTTAATGAATTTCCTCTTGAAGGACAATTCTATCTAATGGATTTTTTCTGTGGTTTGCAACCATTAAACATGTTTGGCAATGTGTCACAATGTCAATTTTTCAATTTCGGAATATACATTCTTGAACTCGATTATCTTTTAATGATGAATAATATACTTTTATGATACTAAATCTCATTTCATATTTTAACCTGCCATTTGAACACGATGAAAATCACACTGATTGATAGGAATATTCAATAATGTAACAATAATAAAAAAAATTTTGAAATTCTTATACGAAAACTAATCATTCAGGAAGTTTTCATCGAATTTTGTACTACTGAAGCAAAAATTCTCAAATAACTAATGATAAACTAAATACATGCGTATAAAGTGTAATTAAGAAATAATCCATCGAAAAAATCGAGATTAAATCTTCTACAAAATGTTGAATGCGTCAGTCAAAAATGATCCAAGCGCCTAAACCAAAAAAAGTCAAGGATAAACAAATGAGTTTCTTTTAAACATAACAGAAAATAAGTCATAAATGACATTATTATTTATTATTATTAATTATTGCATTATTTAAAATGTATTTTAAAAGCTTATTAAAACGATGAAAAATACAGTTTTGAAACTATTTACAATTTAAAATCTTCACAAAAAGAACGGAAATTTCATGAATTTAATTCGCAAGCATATCATAAACGAGATTTGAATTGATCAAAGAACATAGTTAAAATCAACTGACCTCAACTGAATTCTGATATTACCTGTTACACTTCGGAAAGCATGTATAAAAATTCAATTATATACAAAAGTATCCTTTTGTTCTTGAGTAAAAATAGCTTCCTAAAAGGGACGATATATTTATAATGCAGATGGATGGAAGTTGAAATAGTTGTTCCTCACTCTTTCAACAATCCCTTCCTATTTTAGACCTTCGAAGATATTCACATAACAGCTGTGATAATATAAGTGATAAAACCGACAACAAATGGACAGGAAAAATGAATGCTAAAGATCACTTTAAATAGTAAGAAAATGCAACAAAACCGAAGTACAAAGATTAGCACTGTTGAAAAAAAGTCGTCAATTGCATATCATATCACTGTTATAATATAATTTCAAATGATAAAGCTTGAAAATTTGTGAGGAAAAACTGATGAAAACTATCAATGATTCTTTCTTTTTTTCAATAAAGCATTAAAAATTATTTCGAAGAAAGAAAAAAGCACTTCTTTCATTTTCCTTTTAAATTAAATTCTTTATTACAAAGTGAGACAAAAAACTTTTTTTGTCTCACTTTTTTTTTCTGGCATATTTTATTGAAATGCAAATATGATTAATTAATTAACTATTTGTTAATAAACCAAATTGCTAGTTGATTAAGATATCATATTTGTTTTGAGATCTTAATAGAGAGCTGAAAAATAACGACGCAAACATTTTGCTCTAAAATATTTTAGAATTTGAATTATAAGTAAGAATAAAATCGATGCAAATATGTACCGTAAAAAAGACACCAACTATTTATGGTTTGCTTTTGAAGTGCAAAATTTTCACAATCTTTTTTTTTCGCTTTTTTTTGAAAATTCAGTTATATTTCGAATTTTTGTTTAAAAAAAGTAATATAAAGAAGGGTGGATCTCTGTGCGCAGTAAACGTGTCCGTAACAATTATTTTCTCTCCGGGGAAAATACAAACATATATATGTACGTACATCTGCACATGTGTACAGATACACACATACACATACACACATACACATACA